ACATAAATTATAAAAATACTTAAAATTGCCATAAATTTTTGAAAATGAACAATTTAAAATAATTATAATTTATATTGAAACCTTAGATATTTATTTGCCTTTATTTGGTATAATTTTTTTGAAAATTGTTTCTAAACATGTCTCCAGGGAATTCAAAAAAACATGTTTTGCACACAAGTTAATTTTTTTCAATGTAATTTTTGAAAATATTCCGGAAATATTGACACTTTCATTTAATTTTAAATTAAAGTTCATAATACATAAGAAGTTAACTTATTTTAATTTTTTTGCTTTTTTANGAAAATATTCTGGAAATATTGACACTTTCATTTAATTTTAAATTAAAGTTCATAATACATAAGAAGTTAACTTATTTTAATTTTTTTGCTTTTTTAAAGTAACTTTAAAATATGAATTAGCTTAAATTGCCAATTTTATTGATTGGCAAAAGCGATGAACAGTTGCCGAATCGGTAACACTTGTGTCTTTCACGGTTAGGATACCAGGTTCGAATCCACCTATGGCAATAAATATTTTGCATTTTTTTAAGTTAGAAAAATTTTCAAATCATTCGATTTTTATCTCATTTAGATTCCTAACTTCAATAAATATCCAAGATCCCATCACTGTAGTGATTCATCATGAGAAAAAATTTCTTATTTATGATAATATTATTTTACTTTGTATTTCGTCTGGTGTTTGCGATTTATTTTTTATTGACCAACTTTTTTCAACGATATGTCAAATTATTACAATTTGTATTAAGTTGTAGATATTACCCTCAAAAATTAAAAAAAAATCCCTCAATAGAATAAAAAGTATAAAGACAGTATAAAAACAGCTTTATCCATACAAACAATTAAAATCTTTCATTTTTAATATTTTTAATGTATTTATTGACAAATTAGATTTGATTTGATAAAAGTATTCAACTGCAAAAGTAAACAATTTGTAATTTATTAATATTTTAACTCTATTTGTATGTGTTACTAATTGTCTATAATATTCCAAAAATTTGGAATATTATAGACTGTTAATATTTCAAATTTTTTGGTAACATGTTACTATATAAATCACAAATCTAAAAAAAAAAATGATTTTTAGTTTCATCTGATTTCAAAATCGATTTTTAGATTATAATCAAAATTTATAACTTGCTCAATTGAGTAGATCTTTTTAACAACTTTTTTNCAAAATTTATAACTTGCTCAATTTAGTAGATCTTTTTAACAACTTTTTTTTCATTGGTATTTTTAATTAAAGTAAATCATTAAAATTAATTCAGTTCTACATATTTCAATTGTAGAATCTTTTTAAACACCAAAAGTTAATTAAAAATGATTACTATTTCTATTTAAGTGATAAAAATGCAAAAAAATGGAGCTTTACTAATAAATTTGCTGTAAATAGTAATTATAAAATTTCCTGAGTGCATATTAATCTTAACAATAGCATTTTTTCTATTTAATTATGTCAATTTGAAACTTTCAAGTTGAACTAAAACTTATGGTAAAAAATTCATTTTTTTTTTTTTTACTATAAACTTTCACTTTAAAGAGCAAAAAAAGTAGATTAAAAGTAATTAGTTTTAACAAATTAAAAATCAAAATCAATTATAATTTGAAAACAATTGATTATAAAAATGATATAATATATAATTAAAAAAATTACTCTATATTATATTTTTGAATCTAAGAATTACTAATCATGTTATAAATAAGAAACTAGGATTTCATTTTACTTTTGGAATTATCCACCAATTTCTTCGAATTAAACACTATCTACAGATTTGCATCGAAGCGTTTCTAATGATAGTGATTTTAATCACTGTCAGATTAAATCTATATTGGGCCCAACTATGTCACACCCCAACTGTGCTACGACCCTAATGTGCTAGGTTTTTTTTATTACCTTTTTTCAAATCTTTATACTATGACTTATAAGCGACTCTATAATTTCCACACTCTTGTATATCTCCTTTGCCTTTAAATATATGTATACAATATTGTTTCTCCGTTCTTTTGAAAGTTACCTTTCTAATAGGATCTTATTAAAAAGATCCTTCAACCATCATACTCCA